TATGACCTCTTCACTGTGTTTTGAGTTCAAAAAATTTTCTGGAGAATTTTGGTACAAGTGATCGATGGGGAGAGTTCGTATGTAAACATAATTTTTTTTTCCTTACTAGTCAATCTACTATATAACTCTTCTATATTAAAATATATACTTCTTATTTGTAAATTAATTAATTGTTTAATTCTAAGTATAAAAAAAAAAATTTTTTTCTAGTAGCTTGTTAATAAATTTACTTTTAGTTAAATTTAATTTAATTTGAATTAGCTATATACCTCTTTATATAATAATATTTTTTTATAAGCAATCATAATACAGTTTACTCTTATTAATATTAATTTTATTTAATAGAAGAGAATTTAGATATTATGTAGCTACAAAACAATATTAATAACATTTAACTTCTATAAATATGAACTAATTTATATGAAAATTGCTTTAATACAATACAGTATTATAGCAAATAGCAAAAATACAATTACCAGAACTAGTACAAGTTACAAAGAAATTATATAGAGCAAACAAATTTTAATATAAAAGGAAACCTTCTAGTAAAAGTAGAATATGGTACTTTAGACTATAGTTTAAAAAAGCAAATTACAAAAAAACTTTTAAATATTTTCAGATTAATATCTAAAAGAATTAGTAAAAAAACTAAATATTATGAAGTATTTATAACTTAATATAAGTACTTAAAAGTAATTTTACAATGCAAAAATAGACAAATATAGCTAAAAAAATTAAAGAATATTTAAATTATTTTAGATTAGTGATAATTTTTGCCTAACATTAAAATTATAACAAATATTAAAAAAAGAAAGAATTTATAAAAAACAATTAGTTAGTTTATTTAAATAAAGGTAAAAATATAAAATAATTCCAAGAAAATTTAATATTAGAAAGCCAAAAAAAAAAAACAAATACAAAACTACAATCTATAATGTATCTAAAATAGTATTAAATAGTTTACTACTTTAACAATTAAAAAAATATAAATTAAAGGCCATTTATACTTTAAATAACTATAATAGAAATCAAAGCAAAAGAGTATATATATTTTTTAAATAGAAGAAACTCTTATTTAGACCTAAAAAATTAGTATATATTACTAAAATACAAAGCTAAAATAGTAACAACCAGCAACTCTTTCCAACAATCCTTTGCACCAAAAATTTCACTAATACCGACCTATGAATATTGTATAGTTAGTATGTTTTCTCATAACAAAACTTTGCTAAATAGCATCTGGGTTCAAGAGTTTTAGATTGCATATAAGCGCAATGAAATAGAGTTGAAAAAGACAGATTCTTGTGGGTTTGGCTCTCCGGTAGAAGTCTATAGAGCTATCGAACAAGTAGCTTTGGTGACAACCAAGAAAGTTTTTGTCAAGTTATATCAGAGCAAGCGCAAAGATAAAAGCTTGGATAAATATACTATTCTATATAATATAAACTCTTACACTCCTTGTTTTGGTGCTTACCCTGGCCTGTCATCTTCACTATCACCCACTTGTACTTTCAATAAAATTTTCAAAAAAAGTGGGCAAAACAGCTTACCCCCGTCAGAAGAATGGCATTGTTTACTCCTTTCAAATCTGGACAACCAGGTGAATTGCAACCACGTGTTTTGGGGTGATCATAATGATAAACATGGTGCTACCTACAAAGGACTGGGACCTTCCATTTATTTACATCCGGCTTTGGTTGTATGTTAGAAAGAAGATTTTAGATAAAGTAAAACTTTATAATTGAGATATACTATAGTTGCAGTAGTTATATAATTTTTATTATTAACCACAATTGCTTCTTGATAGAGGTAGATTGGTTAGCCTGTAGAGGCTTTTCTCTTTGTTTTTCTTTTTTTATATTCTCCTGTTCCCCTAATTATCTTCTTTTTTAATTCCCATTTCGTTTATGTGTTTTTTGTTTTATTTTAGTTTTAGTTTTCATTTTGCTTCTTAATATTAGTTCTGTATTGGTGATACAGAATTTTACTTTCTTGTGCTCTCAGTAAAGAAAAAAAGATTGAAGGGATTAGTTCTTGATGGGTTGACAAGGTCTCCTGACATGTATGTGAATCAGTGCGACAAGTTGCATCTGGGCACAATATCTGTAGCCGGGTGATGTCAGGCTTGTAATTGCAAAGAGCATTTACTAGAAATAGGTTTTATTTTTTAAGACAGATTTTACCATGTAAATATTTGTATTGTAGTACCGGCAAGACTATCAAAGAATAAAAAAAAAAAAAAAAAAAAAATAGTAACAACCTATACTATATCTAGATACTAAAAGGGTTTTAGCTAGCTAAACTACTTTTTAGATAAAAACAACAATATAAGTAAAGAAAAATATCTATGCTATAACTTAAAAATATTTAAAAACCAAAATTCTGATAAAAAAAAAAAATAACAACTGCTTATACAAATTAAATAGACTTTTTAGTAGCAATAAAAAAAACGAACTAAGTTATATAGTAGTTTATATAAGCAAATATCAGAAATAATTAGATTTAAAGATATAACAAAATACAATAAAAAAAATAAGAAATATATTTTACCAGAATCTAAAATAACTAATAAAAAAGAAAATAGATATAAAAGTGAAATAGAAACCAATAGTTATAAAATGATTTTAGAAGAAATTCTTAATAAACTTGACAGAATTTAAAGAAAACATATAAAAGCAGATATTTTTAATTACTTCTAAAAGTTGCTTTAGACAACTTTATAGAAATCAGTAATGATCTTGTATTACTTTCAGGAGTTTAAGTATTTGATTAATACCAGTTTTTCAAGAAGTAAATACTAATAAATTATCTCTAATTCAAGAAAAAAAAATTAAATTAGAAATAGTATTTTATAATATTAACAGACTTAAACAAATCAAAAACAAATTAAATAGTCTATTAGAATAGGCAAAATCAGAAGAGATAGAAATCTTGAGACTAGCTAAAACAAATATTAGTAGTATTTTGTATTAGATAAAAATTTAAATTACAAAGTTTTTGGTCTAAATTAAAGATATTTAAAAGAAAAACTTTAGGTGTAGATTTATTAGTAAGAGAAGATTAGAAAAAATATTTAGATAGAGTAAACAGAACTAGTAAATACTTTTAAGAAGCTCTAGCTTTTATTTTTTTATTTTTTTTTTTAAATATTAAGGTGACCACTTAGGCCCCTGGCATGTAGCTTTATTCGAATAGTTACAATATTACATCAATTTTATAAGGATACAACTAGCCACACGTGTACTTTTGGTACCTAATTTAAGTAGTCCACCTGGGTTCTACACTATCACCATACTTGCAACCTAACTAGGAGATTATCTATTTAAGCTCTCTGATTATTTAACTAACGAGAGTATAACTAGCCATACATGCAACTTTTGGTTATCTATTTAAGTAGTCTGCCCTAGGTTCCACACTAGCTACCGTACCTGCATCCAACTATAAGAGATACTCATTTAAATCCTCTAGCTCCATTTCTGTAACACGTTTACCCTAACACTCTTAATGAGATTAACAATGCCGTAGAAGAACTCTAAGACTTTAGCTACATAGGTATTTATCCTTGTGATAAACCTAACAGAATAGTACATGTCCTACACATGTACTTACCTGCATGTTTAGTAACTTTTCCCCAACTAGTACAAGTTGTGCTGCCACTACCGGGTTCATATCTCAAGCTATTTTTTCGGATACTGCCGTAACCTGATTCGTATCTCAAGCCACAACCTTCCTAATTAGTTCCCATTTACGTACTCTTGCCCTTGCAAGGTTCATAGCAACCCCAGTATCCACGTTCCAACTTACTTCTTTCCTGGATTCTTTATCGGTCCCTCCTTTACTTCCAGCTGGCAACCCGGAAGAGTTGGTCTGCCCAAGCTCTAAGTGCCTTACAGTCTCTCTCCCCTTGGTACATGCTTTCAGAGCACAAGTCCTTTTCCTCCAGTGGCGTGCCGGTGGTTCAGCTAGTGTGTCCCTCACTTAAGGACCTGGTTGCTCAGTTCTCTGGTCTCAGTTTCTAGTTCCAAATTCAGTCTTCCTGTAGCACTATCAAAAATCACTACTACTCCCAACTTGGGACTTGCCAAACAGGTTCTCAGTAATTCCAGTTTCCTGGATTTATTGTGCCAAAGCTCCCATTTGAGATGGTATAACCAAGATTACAGATATCTGGATCCAACTGATAATCTTAACATTAACTGATACAGATATAGTTTTTTCAAAATCATCATCTGTGAGATTCGAACTCTAGACCTGCTGTTTGGAGGTACAACAACTTCACTACTTCACTAAGTCACTACACCCAAAGCTCACTTTTATTTTAAACAATTAGAACTTATAGTTATAATAATATATCTTCTACTAAACAATAAGAGTACAATCAAGCTTATTCAGCAAAAATAGTTAAAAGATTTTTTAACAAATTATCTGTTATACAATTTATAATAATAAGAAACTTTAACTATATAGTTGATCTAATAATAGATACAAATAGTTAATCAGTAAACAAAAATAGTAGTTTTGCTATTATATTAGTAATTTAAAAGTCAGAAGTTTAAAAAAAAATCTACTTACACTCTCTCCCGATCACATCAGTCGAGAAAGAGTAAATTTTAACAAGACACAATACATAAAAATATTCACACAAGCAAGTCTCGGGACAACAAGGAAATAGGAGCTCTTGCCCTCACTGCAGGGAAAAAAAGACGCAGAGAAACACCTCCAGAACCTACTTGTGAAGGCAATATGGGGAAAAATAAAAAAAAAGCAAAAACAACTGACTCGGTCAAAAAAGAAAATCAAGAGACACCAATATAAAAGACACCTCTACACAATATCTCAAGTCAGAGTGAAAATGATAAGACATGCTAGAAAGATGTGATAAGCACTGCTTTAACCTGGGACGACAAGGTGGAGCAAGACTTACAGGTGTTAAAAGACTATACGAACATGCAAACGGAGGAGAATACAGAAGAAGAACACATACCAACACGTATATCTAGTAAAATAGCCAAAGTAAACAAAGAAACATCAAAACAAAAACACATTCTAAATGATGACTGCGCAGAAAACACAGATATCCCGCTTGAGGAAAGTGTTGCCCAACCGCAGTCGGACAAAGATAAGGACAAAGCCAAAGAAACCAGCCTAGCTAGACAAGAAAAAACATGGGCCTCCCTTTTCCCACGCCTAAAGAGAGGACGCTCCACATATGCATCCTTCTCTCCAAGACAGAATATTAGATCGAACAATGA